TTTATATATTATAATCTAAATCATTCTATTTTTTTCAGTTTTATGACTGATATTACCTGGTCCAAACTTAACACCTGTATTTAATATATTATAATCTAAATCATTCTATTTTTTTCAGTTTTATGACTGATATTACCTGGTCCAAACTTAACACCTGTATTTAATATATTATAAATTAAATCATTCTATTTTTTTTCAGTTTTATGACTGATATTACCTGGTCCAAACTTAACACCTGTATTTAATATATTATAATCTAAATCATTCTATTTTTTTCAGTTTTATGACTGATATTACCTGGTCCAAACTTAACACCTGTATTTAATATATTATAATCTAAATCATTCTATTTTTTTCAGTTTTATGACTGATATTACCTGGTCCAAACTTAACACCTGTATTTAATATATTATAATCTAAATCATTCTATTTTTTTCAGTTTTATGACTGATATTACCTGGTCCAAACTTAACACCTGTATTTAATATATTATAATCTAAATCATTCTATTTTTTTCAGTTTTATGACTGATATTACCTGGTCCAAACTTAACACCTGTATTTAATATATTATAATCTAAATCATTCTATTTTTTTCAGTTTTATGACTGATATTACCTGGTCCAAACTTAACACCTGTATTTAATATATTATAATCTAAATCATTCTATTTTTTTCAGTTTTATGACTGATATTACCTGGTCCAAACTTAACACCTGTATTTAATATATTATAATCTAAATCATTCTATTTTTTTCAGTTTTATGACTGATATTTCTTACAACCTGTATTTCAAAAATCACAAAAATGATTATTTATCTTGTATTACGCTAAATGAATATTATATAATAGTAATTAAATTAAATGTCTTGTTATTTAGCTAAATGTTAACTATAGTCTTATTTTGACTTATTTTAGGAAATGTGTAAATAATTATACCTTCGGGTGAAAAGGTAATTCAAAGGGATTTGTAAAGAGGTTTTCTAAATTTTGATGTGTATCGGGGACAATGATAGCATCAATTTGCGCCATTCCAATTTTCAATCAGACGTCTGTGGTTCTAGCAATTCTACTAAAACTAAGTGTTTTATGATATCACCCCCACAAAGGTCTTATGTGCCAGAAGCAAATTTGCGGGGGTGACGTCATAAAACACTTAGTCTTAGTGGAATTGCAATCACAGACTTCTGATTGAATATTGGAATGGTGCAAATTGATGCTATCAATGTCCCCGCTAAGCATAAAAAAATTTAGAAATCCTCTTTACAATCTCTTTAACTCGAAAAAGATTTCACATTTTATATATTTTATATTTTCCATGGTGATAGATTTGTGTTTCAAGTTTGATGGAATACAAAGCATTTATATTATAACCTGGTTTGTCTCTCAATCAACAGCGATTCTAAATATCTCCTAATAAAAAGAGAGAATTTGAGATGTCTTATCTCGGTAATGGATCGCTCTACTGCTCACATTCAAAATGCAGATAAAAAGGCTTACGTTTCTGACAGGAAGCACCAGACCATCCAGTAGCACAACCTTTACTGCATTCACCAGAATCTTTATGACATGGTTCATCATTAAAACAGTGACAGGTATAACTCTTATCAGGTCCAAACTTAACACCTGTATTTAATATATTATAATCTAAATCATTCTATTTTTTTCAGTTTTATGACTGATATTACCTAGTCCAAACTTAAAACCTGTATTTAAAAAAATCATAAACTAAATCATATTTTCAGTTTTATGACTGATATTACCTAGTCCAAACTTAACACCTGTGTTTAATATATTATAATCTAAATCATTCTATTTTTTTCAGTTTTATGACTGATATTACCTGGTCCAAACTTAACACCTGTATTTAATATATTATAATCTAAATCATTCTATTTTTTTCAGTTTTATGACTGATATTACCTGGTCCAAACTTAACACCTGTATTTGATATATTATAATCTAAATCATTCTATTTTTTTCAGTTTTATGACTGATATTACCTGGTCCAAACTTAACACCTGTATTTAATATATTATAATCTAAATCATTCTATTTTTTTCAGTTTTATGACTGATATTACCTGGTCCAAACTTAACACCTGTATTTAATATATTATAATCTAAATCATTCTATTTTTTTCAGTTTTATGACTGATATTACCTGGTCCAAACTTAACACCTGTATTTAATATATTATAATCTAAATCATTCTATTTTTTTCAGTTTTATGACTGATATTACCTGGTCCAAACTTAACACCTGTATTTAATATATTATAATCTAAATCATTCTATTTTTTTCAGTTTTATGACTGATATTACCTGGTCCAAACTTAACACCTGTATTTAATATATTATAAATTAAATCATTCTATTTTTTTTCAGTTTTATTTCTTACAATCTGTATTTCAAAAATCACAAAAATGATTATTTATCTTGTATTACGCTAAATGTCTTGTTTTTAGGCTAAATGTCCAACTATAGTCCTTATTTTGACTTGGACCCAGATTTGATGCCTTGAATAAACTTACATTGAGTGAGTGGTATGATAAATAATATTACAATTATCAACTTCCACATTCTAACATGTAGTAGTAGACTTTGTCCTGATAGCGGCGTATTTTTTTCTGTTTCTACCAGTCTGAGGTTTGTTTGCTGCTTCAGTCTGTAGTACACCGGATCTTGGTGTTTTCTCAACCTCTCCCATTTGCATTTCTGACTCAGTGGGACCATACTGAAAGAAGAATTGAATGCATTATTCTATTTCTATGCCTGGATTGAACACCACCTCGTAGATATGTAAGAATGTCGAAAATGTTCCATAAACTTTCATTAAATTGACTTACAGTCTCAGAATGCAAGAGAGCAAATTGTGTTAAATTCCCGGGAAAGGGTCCCGACTAATCTAGATGAGTCACTGACATTCTTTAAAAGGGTTTCCAAAGTTAGTTGAAAGAAAGTCTGCTAATTTAGATGGGGTGGTTTAAGGTGGTTTGTCTAAGACATATTTAAAAAAACAATGTTTAAGATTTAATTCTATTTATTTTTTATTTTTGTTTGTTGAAATTATGATTTAAGTTTACGCATTTATATTGTTTACTCTTCTTGTAACGAGGAAAATGGCTGGAACTCAAATGACGACTGCAGAAGTAAGCATAATATGTGTTTCTTGTTCTTTGATAGTTTTATTTGCAACAGCTTGTAAATAGTTTTATTTTCTCACATCCAAATCGGCGTATGGTGCATGTCAAACTAATAGTATAATATACAAGGCTACAGTTACAAACACTGACACAAATGAACGTAAAAAATATCTGGGACTGACTGAAAACATGTTTACAATGCAGTCGTTTAACAATAAAAAAAGGACCGAACTCCCAAAACACATTTTGCAACTTAGACTGAAAAATAATAAATACAAAATATCCTGGTCAATTGATAGCAGAGTTTAAGCCTACACACATAAAATCAAACCTGTATTTAACTGAAGAGCTTTACATCATTAATGCCCCTAAGCAAACACCTTTAAACAAACGTTATGAACTTGTCCGAAGGTCTACTTGTCTAACTTCAGTAGGGACACCGGCTGAAAATAGGTCAGTTTTCTGAAGATCGCGTGAAACAACATGTTTTTTTACGTTCTGTTTTAATATTTCTATATCGCTCTACAATAGATGTAATTAGCATTATTTTAACAGTGAAATTTTTCATTATTATTATTTATACTGTGATATAGAAATATTAAAACAGAACCTAAAATATCATGTTTGTACTCAGAGGTTCATGCTATGCGATTTTACGACAACCGACCTATTACAACCTGCGTCCCTACATTCGACAAGTGTTTGTCCAACTTCAGTAGGGATATGTTTATGTTTCGAGAACTATTTGTACTGTAAATATATTTTGTTAATGTTTACATATTTATTACGATATATTACACTTTTTATTTTCTAATGGATACCTAATAATAAAAAAAAAACAACGTAGTGCGCACCCTAGTTGTTGCAAATTTCGAATAATAGAAGCCCAAACTATTCCTTAAATATAAATTGGTCTTACATGAGACTGAACTGGTCATTACGTATACGTCTCTCTTGGTTCTTGAGTTAAATGACCGAGGACGAGTTTTTATTGAGTTAGAAAGGCGACAAAAAAGAAAGGCGGGTCGAGGGCTTTTCTAACTCAGTAAAAACGAGTCCATAATTGATAATGTCGTATGACTTGCGCTGCAACGTAACGTTTAGTGTGCCTTGATTTTGAATCTAAAGGTGCGGGCACACGAGCGGTCTTGGTCGGAGACTTTTGTCGCCGATTAGTGTCTTGTCTTGAGTTTCAACGAGGAGACTAAAATCTCCAGTCGGTCGTTTAACACGTGCGGAGCATGCAATTGAAAAGAAAATGGATCTGATTGGATGGTACATATATAAGATATTCGATCTGAAACCTATCCCTTGAAAGTAATGCTATGACGATTTATAGATTTATAAGTTGGGGTTCGCACTGCATTGGTACCTTTCACTGTTCTAGTTTGAACGAGCCTAAGGTCAAGTTAAACAATGATGTGAAATACGTGAAAAAGTTTAACATATAAAATATAATTCGACGTGTGACAGTATTTTATATAATAGGCTGTTATGGAATATTTCGTATATAACTAACATTCTACAACAAAATAAATTAGATATAATGTTTCCAAATCAATTTTGATTCAATAAACGTCAGAAAGGTATGAAGCAGAAGGAGAAAAAACAAAGAGATCAGAATTGTCTGTTAAAAGGACAGTTGTACCTGGGGGGTTGATTTTAGTCTTGAAAATGTATAAATAGTCTTCAGAAGTTCTAGACATGTACAAAAAACTTAATATTCCTTCTCTGTATCTATTCACAGTGTATCTTAAAATGACGAGTCGAACAAACAAATCAGTCCAGATACAAGAAACAGATTTATAATATTCGTCAAGAAGTTTGCTATTACGACCATAAAATTTCCTAAATGAAGTCTATGTGTCCCTGCTTAAGCAATTTCAAAGTCAAACCCCACCTCCTGGAAATCGGACAGTTGATATAAACAGGTATAGTCTGGGCGTTAGATTCTAAAAGTTTTGATATAGTCAAACACAGATATTTTTGCTCATCCAGGTACCGTCAAAACTAGTCCAAAACAATTTCAAGGGTACAAAAGGTATGACATTTAGAGGGTTTGACTAATCCTTCAATTTTATATGATAACTCGTAAATGAGATATAAATGTACATGTATGTCATTTCAAAACATTTGAAGGCCCTATAGTTCATTTTATCATGACAGCCACCATTAGGCCTGACGAGATGACTATGATATGAACAGCAATAGCTTAAATGGCACAAAACCTTCACCCGTGCCTCCATGAATAATTATAAGACATTTTCTTTCTATATTAGAACATTCCTTTTTGACTCGTTATCAATGTCAAATTTAGGAATTGTGTGAGTTATCTTAGTATACATACACTATTAGTCAGCCTACTGTCCGATATTTCTTTAATTTTGTTCTATGTAATTCTAGAAACATCAAGGTTCTCTTTGCCATGTACAGTGAATCCTGCTCATGAGACCACCTCTACTTAAGAACCACCTTCAATATGCGACCACAATAAAGTCCAACTTTCAAGTTTTCAATTTAACTAAAGACTGTTAGGAGACCACCTCCATTACCCGATTATCTAGTCTATGTCAACGTGTTTCATATTTATTTTCTATCAATTAAGGATTGAATGTAGATTGATCGATGAACGCAGAATTTTCACGAGATAATTCGAATGAGTGGCGAAGCCATTCATGTAACATTTATCACGTGAAAATTCGTTATCGGTGATCACTAAAAGTCATCAAAGTCTTGCAAGTTGAATTTTTCTCACTTAAACTTTCCTTTGAATCGGGTCAGCTTTTGTCTGGGATATGTGCGAATTAAGGATTAAAACAAATCTAAAATCTAAAGTTGCATAGATTTAATCTCATTTAAGATTTATCATATTCAAATGAAGGATTAGTCAAACCCTCTAAATGCCATAACCTTGAAAATTTGTGTTTATATTTTGACGGTACCCGGCTATACAAGGGTCTTTTAACCTTTTAATAAAGGAGTTATATATATTATAAAATGATGCTCAATCAAAAACAAGTAGTATACAATAATAATAATAATAATAATAAATACAATATTTATAGAGCGCGTTATATAAAAACAATTACTCTAAGCGCTTCACATAAAAATAAGTAAAAAATAAAATAAACAGTTTAAAATAATTGCAGTCAATTAAAAGTATATAGAATGAAATAAAATCTACAAGAAATCCTTAAAAGCAGTTCGAAAGAAGTGAGTCTTGAGTTGCAAACTACCATTTGCAAATTAGGCATCCTTTTCAAAAGCGGAAGTCACGTGAATTTTTCAGTCTGGAGCTTTCCGTCTTCGTACTAATACGTTGTGTACTCTTAAACCCTGGAGTAGTATATCTTATAAACTGATGATGGCAATGTAAATTGTTGAAACGTTGTGTACTCTTAAACCCTGGAGTAGTATACTATATAAACTGATGATGGCAATGTAAATTGTTGAAACGTTGTGTACTCTTAAACCCTGGAGTATTTTACCATATAAACTGATGATGACAATGTAAATTGTTGAAACGTTGTGTACTCTTAAACCCTGGAGTATTTTACCATATAAACTGATGATGACAATGTAAATTATAGAAACGTTGTGTACTATAAAACCTTGGAGTATTTTACCATATAAACTGATGATGACAATGTAACTTATAGAAACGCTGTGTACGATACAACCCAAGACTAGTATACCATATAAACTGATGATGACAATGTAAATTATAGAAACGTTGTGTATTATAAAACCTTGGAGTATTTTACCATATAAACTGATGATGACAATGAAACTTATAGAAACGTTGTGTACGATACAACCCAAGACTAGTATACTAGTTGAAACGTTGTGTACAATAAAACTCAGGAGAAGTATACTATATAAACTTATGATGACAATGTAAATTGTTGAAACGTTGTGTACTATAATGTTCAGTAATATACCGAATTACCAATTTTGGTTCTACTTTATCTAGTTCACATTTGTTTACATCTTGCATTTTGAACGTCAAATTTCTCCCTTAAAATAAGACAGAAACTCAATTGCTATTTTGACAGTTTTTGACTTGTAGAGCCGACAAACTGTCAGAATTGGCATAGAGGCACATGTTTAAGATTTGTTAAGCTCACTTACCTTCAGCTACGTTTAACACACTGTGAATGATCACAGGTAAACACTAGTTTTATATGCACAATGTTACCAATGAAGGGTTTCGAGGGGTCAAATAAGATAATATGATATGTGATATGTTTTTCTAAATCATTGAAGTTTTCGGAGAATCTATTCATATAATAATAAAAATAATGACGCCCTCTCTCTATTGTAGAGATCAAATAAATAAATAATAAATCTATTGCCCTTCTTTTATGGTTTCCCGTGTATATTAATTAATTTTTAAATCATTTCAGAATCGAGTATAATCTAATGAAATAATGGTTTAAACAATTTTTATAGTTACTCTGTTCGTTTTACTCTATCGTAATCTGTGACAGAAAAAGGCACACTTGGTTGAAAATAAAACAGTTAAAGAGACAATTGCGGCATTTCGGAAAGTAACTGTTAATATAGATGTTTTTATTAAATATAGAGGCCACAGGCCCATTATACAATAAAGTAGATATTAATATACACAATTATACAAACTACACGTGGATACTTAATTCACATTTTCGAAGGCTCAAAGAATTTTGTCCTTTTTTTCAATGACAAAAATGTATATTTAGCCAAATTGTACAAGATGGTAGCATTTGTGTTTGACATTAATATATTTAATTTTTGTTGAGATGGGTGTTTATGATAATATTGGGGTATAAGTTCTAACCTTAATTCTTCATAAAAAAGGACAGATGACAAATGATATTCTGATTCGACACATTACACAGAGAGGACAAAACCGTTCGCATCTTGTTAAACCAAGCTGTCTGCCCTTTTCAATCATTAAAGGGTGATTTGAGCACCGTAACTTACATAAGGCAATACGATACACACTGACATTGATATCAAGATAGGTTTCTCTATTGACACTTTCTTTAAAGCCTGCATAGAAGTCTAGCTTTGACACTGTTTGTATGTTTTCGTACCATAACGGATTACCAATATCAATACATCTTTGTTTGAAAATTTTGCTGAATGAATTGTCAACTGTTTGATTGTACCAAACCTCAGCAAACCCGTATGCACTAAGTACATTTTTGATCTTTAGAGCCCAGCAGTTGATGCTCTTTTCAGCCAAATCATATTGATATTGATATATTACAGATAATATTCTATTTTCTTTTTGATTAACTAATCTAATCCAGTATTTGATTAATCTGTTATACAAGTTAACTGTCATAGAATATCGACCAAGTTCACCCCGGGCAACAATATTTGGGGCTGTCTGACTTAAATTGATTAACGACTTAAAGAACCTATCCTGCACTAAATTAATGTCAGGAGCAGGGTGGAATCCCCACACTTCGCTACCGTACAATAAGATAGGTACAATTTTAGCATCGAAAATATGCAGTTTAGTACGGATTGGCAACTTACAGAAGTTTGGTATTTGTGATTTAAGGATTCTGATAGCCTTAGGGCTTGTTGGGCCAATGTCTTCTGGGCTTGAAACCAGGAGGTGGAAGATGCCAACTGAACACCTATATATTTGTACGAAGGTACTATTTCCATCAAGAAAAAATTTCTCATATTTCCTCAATTGGCCACCTTTTCGAAAGACTACAATTTTACTTTTGCTACTGTTAACTTTCAATGTCAGTTTATCGAGCCTATCTTGCAATCCTTTAACCGTACTGTCGAAAAGTTCAATATCGTCGGCAAACAATAATATAAAAAGTTCTATCGTACTAACATTAATGCACCTTTGATCATCATTGCTCAAATCAGAAACAATGTCATTTATGAAAAATGAAAACAAAAATGGTGATAATTGGCAACCTTGTCGTACACCAAATGCAGCTTCAAATATATCGGTGCTACCTAATGAGACTCAATAATCTAAATGTATAACCCCTAATGTTTCCATTCCACAGTTTGTAAATCAAACTATTCCTGCAAATGGAATCAAAGGCAGATTTAAGGTCAATGAGACCACAATATAGCCTACCATGGCACAAGTTTACAATTTTGTTAATAACAGTGTCTAAGATAAAGATATTATCTATAGTCTGAAAGCCAGTTCTAAAACCAGTCTGTTCTTTTACTAAAACGTATTCTCTCTTTGCCCACTGTGTTAGCCTTTCGCACACAACTTTTGCGAATATTTTCCTGCAACTTCCAAAAGAGTCACCGGGCGATAGTTAGAAGGGTCATACGGATTACCTTTTTTAAAAATTGGCACAATCACACCTAAAATCCACTCCTCTGGGTAAACTCCGGTTCTAAATATTAAATTGAAAAGAAACGTAAGGATATCAACACAAATTGGGGGTGCGTTTTTCAAGAGCTCTATTGGGATACCATCATACCCAGGTGCCTTTCCACTTTTCATACCATGTATTGCATTTTCAATCTCTTCGTGGGTAATTACTGCATCTAAAGGGTTGTCTCCAATACTGGCATTTATGTGATCTTCGCTTATTGAATTCACAAACGTGTCTATCTCACCATAAAATTGTTGAAAGTCGGGAGATTCATCTATACCTTGGAAGTGCTTAATGAAGTGATCTGTCCAACACATGGCAGATATATTGTTTTTAGACATAACTGAGTTCGGTTTGATGGAACGCCAGAAACGTTTCCAATCTTGCAGTCGCAGAGCTCCTTCAAGACAATCACAAAAAGCATTAAATGCACTATCTGATTTTTGTTTACACAATAGATTTTTTAGAGTCAGAGTATGCTTCCCTATCAGTTAAGGCGTTTGAGATATGGAACTGGCGTAGGTGTCTTCTAGCTTCCAGTCGCGCTTCTTGGCATGGGCGGATCTCAGACAGTTGAAACTTAATAAATAAACAAATTTATAAAGTTAGAGTCAAAAGAAATCTATCTGTAAGTTTCGGGTTCTTTGTTGAATATTTAAAATGATGGATGTTTTGATTGGTCAATATTGTAAGAACTAAACTATAGATTTTAAACACTCGGATGCTAAGATTCCATATACGCGTCAGGCGAATCCATCATGCGTCATCCGTCATTTGTTAAAAATCGAAATGGTAGGTATAAGAGGGTACGATTCCATATATGCAGAAGCGGTATCCGCCAAATGGTCTCCGTCATGCGTCAAAAAGAAAATCACCCGGTGTAGCGATTTTTGACACATCCCGACGGCTTTCCGCGCAGAGATCTCCCAAATGTGGCGTATTTTGTGGGGGTTCCCTGTCTTTTTTATGCACCAAAGCATCCATTTGTCTAGAAGTCGGTGCGTCAAAAGAAAGATAACGCATACGTTAACTCGCATATGGAATCATATTTGACGTATGACGATCTGTCACCTGTTGTCATTCTGCTTTTGTTTCTCTATCTTTTAATCTCTGAAATTAGAAATAAAATTTGTTGTGTTTTTTTATGAATATCGATTTTTATTGAAATAAAAAAATAATATCATGGGTTGTACAAAATATACAAAATATTAATTATTGGTTGGCCTATGTGAACTCTCTGAAAGGAATCTAATTGGCGAGAAGTGATTAACATGACTAGATGTCGGATAATACAGATTTTTGTTAGTCGGGACCACTGATTAGTGTCGTATTTTGTAATACACGGAATGTGAATTTTTAACTGACATAATAAAGAAATCAATCGGGATCTGAAAAGATGTTGGATAACGAAGAATGTTAGAATACTCAAATGTCGGATATCACAGAGTACCTCAATATGAGGTTTATAGTTTCATAATATTTAATATTCTAATATTTATGTCATGTTGATCGTAACTATTAATAATCGTTTAAATTTAACTAACAATAGTAACTGTAACAAACTACCACACCAAATACTGACACTGAAATGACAACTGATAATAAGAGAAGATACAACAATGAATCTCTATAAATAAAATAAACATGCCACCACCTAAGTAAACTAAACTTTATTATGAACATTTTAAACCTGGTCATACTGCACATTGTAAACCTGGCCATACTGCACATTGTAAACCTGGCCATACATTGGCAAGCTTAATCTAAAACTGATTCCCGCTAAGATTTCGACCAAGTGACCTGTAAAACGATCGGGTATTGGGTCCCAAAATGCCAATTCCGAAAGGAAGAGAAAAAGATCCGAGAAGAAGCAGAAAAACGAGTGTCACCAAAAAGGACATCGGGCTTGCGACTATAGAGGGGAATAGTTGTCAAAAGTATTAATGAAGTCAAACTTGAAAACGAGGCGTTGACTTTAAAAAAATAACATATTTCCACTTTACACATTTAGGAAATACTTCTTTCTTAAATCATACAGTCAACCTTCTAATTACAAAGTTCAGAAATTTATAGTTTACTTTTCAAAAATTGCTCGGTTCTTACCACTTCGTCAACGTCTTGACCTCGCACACCAAATCATGGCACCAAAATACCACTACTGAAGACATTTTCGAAAACGTGGAACAACCTTTGCTGATACAGAACTTGGGAGATGCGACAATCGTTCTGTTGGGAAAACGTGTCAACTAATTTGGCTCTTTGAGTTGTCTGGGTGTTTATAGGGTGATTGTTGTGATGTTTTTTACTTTTTATCTTTTCAATTACGGTACATTAACTTCGCGAGAAAAAAAGAAGATTTTTTGACAGTTATTAGACTTAGTTCAATTGAAACCCGTATTTGATTGCTACATAGATTTAGATCATAGTCTGGTATCACTGTCTGTAAACCATCCCGAGGTTTATTGTCTGGTATCGCGGTCTGTAAACCACCCCGAGGTTTATTACCTAGTATCACGGCTTGTAAACCATCCCTAGGTTTATAGTCTGGTATCACAGTCTGTAAACCATCTCCAGGTTTATTGTCTGGTATCACAGTCTGTAAACCATCCCTAGGTTTATAGTCTGGTATCACAGTCTGTAAACCATCTCCAGGTTTATTGTCTGGTATCACAGTCTGTAAACCATCCCTAGGTTTATAGTCTGGTATCGCGGTCTGTAAACCATCCCTAGGTTTATAGTCTGGTATCGCGGTCTGTAAACCATCCCTAGGTTTATAGTCTGGTATTACAGACTGTAAACCATCTCCAGGTTTATTATCTGGTATCACAATCTGTAAACCATCCCCAGGTTTATAGTCTGGTATCGCGGTCTGTAAACCATCCCCAGGTTTATTGCCTAGTATCACGGCTTGTAAACCACCCCCAGGTTTATTGTCTGGTATCACAGTCTGTAAACCATCTCCAGGTTTATTACCTGGTATCATGGTCTGTGAACCATCCCCAGTTTTTTTTTACCTGGTATCACGGTCGGTAAATCCACCCCAAGGTTTATTGTCTGGTATCACAGTCTGTAAACCATCCCCAGGTTTATTGTCTGGTATTACGACTTGTAAACCATCCCCAGGTTTATTGCCTGGTATTACGGCTTGTAAACCACCCCCAGGTTTATGACCTGGTATCATGGTCTGTGAACCATCCCCAGTTTTTTTTTACCTGGTATCACGGTCGGTAAATCCACCCCAAGGTTTATTGTCTGGTATCACAGTCTGTAAACCATCCCCAGGTTTATTGTCTGGTATTACGACTTGTAAACCATCCCCAGGTTTATTGCCTGGTATTACGGCTTGTAAACCACCCCCAGGTTTATGACCTGGTATCACGGTCTGTAAACCATTCCTAGGTTTATTGTCTGGTATCGAGGTCTGATGTCTGTGTGCAGAAAGTGAGTTGCTGCATGCCCCAGTTGGAAATTTCAAGATCTCGGATACATTACATGAAATGGGCCTATGACAAATATATAACAAGCTGCTAGCTCGTTAGACAGGATAGTTTGGTACTACAGAAATTCGTTATTGTGCTAATTGCGACCATTTGCGACTAAAAAATGAACAAAACGCGAGAAAAGTCATTTAAAATTACAAATTTTACAACCGTCAGTTGGTCTGATTTGACAGTATTATTAGATTATCTCTGAGTTTATTCAGTTATTATAGTTGGTCTGATTTGACGGTATCATTAGATTATCTCTGAGATTATTCAGTTATTACAGTTGGTCTGATTGGACAGTATCATTAGATTATCTCTGAGATTATTCAGTTATTATAGTTAGTCTGATTTGACAGTATCATTAGATTATCTCTGAGATTATTCAGTTATTACAGTTGGTCTGATTTGACGGTATCATTAGATTCTCTCTGAGATTATTCAGTTATTACAGTTGGTCTGATTTGACGGTATCATTAGATTATCTCTGAGATTATTCAGTTATTACAGTTGGTCTAATTTGACGGTATCATTAGATTCTCTCTGAGATTATTCAGTTATTACAGTTGGTCTGATTTGACGGTATCATTAGATTCTCTCTGAGATTATTCAGTTATTATAGTTGGTCTGATTTGACGGTATCATTAGATTATCTCTGAGATTATTCAGTTATTATAGTTAGTCTGATTGGACAGTATCATTAGATTGTCTCTGAGATTATTCAGTTATTATAGTTAGTCTGATTTGACGGTATCATTAGATTCTCTCTGAGATTATTCAGTTATTATAGTTAGTCTGATTTGACAGTATCATTAGATTATCTCTGAGATTATTCAGTTATTATAGTTGGTCTGATTTGACAGTATCATTAGATTCTCTCTGAGATTATTCAGTTATTACAGTTGGTCTGATTTGACAGTATCATTAGATTCTCTCTGAGATTATTCAGTTATTACAGTTGGTCTGATTTGACAGTATCATTAGATTATCTCTGAGATTATTCAGTTATTATAGTTAGTCTGATTTGACAGTATCATTAGATTATCTCTGAGATTATGCAGTTATTATAGTTGGTCTGATTTGACGGTATCATTAGATTATCTCTGAGATTATTCAGTTATTATAGTTGGTCTGATTGGACAGTATCATTAGATTATCTCTGAGATTATTCAGTTATTACAGTTGGTCTGATTTGACAGTATCATTAGATTCTCTCTGAGATTATTCAGTTATTATAGTTAGTCTGATTTGACAGTATCATTAGATTATCTCTGAGATTATTCAGTTATTATAGTTGGTCTGATTTGACAGTATCATTAGATTATCTCTGAGATTATTCAGTTATTATAGTTGGTCTGATTTGACAGTATCATTAGATTATCTCTGAGATTATCCAGTTATTATAGTTAGTCCGATTGGACAGTATCATTAGATTCTCTCTGAGATTATTCAGTTATTACAGTTGGTCTGATTTGACGGTATCATTAGATTCTCTCTGAGATTATTCAGTTATTACAGTTGGTCTGATTTGACGGTATCGTTAGATTCTCTCTGAGATTATTCAGTTATTACAGTTGGTCTGATTTGACGGTATCATTAGATTCTCTCTGAGATTATTCAGTTATTACAGTTGGTCTGATTTGACAGTATCATTAGATTATCTCTGAGATTATTCAGTTATTACAGTTGGTCTGATTTGACGGTATCATTAGATTCTCTCTGAGATTATCCAGTTATTATAGTTAGTCCGATTGGACAGTATCATTAGATTCTCTCTGAGATTATTCAGTTATTACAGTTGGTCTGATTTGACGGTATCATTAGATTCTCTCTGAGATTATTCAGTTATTACAGTTGGTCTGATTTGACGGTATCATTAGATTCTCTCTGAGATTATTCAGTTATTACAGTTGGTCTGATTTGACGGTATCATTAGATTCTCTCTGAGATTATTCAGTTATTACAGTTGGTCTGATTTGACAGTATCATTAGATTATCTCTGAGATTATTCAGTTATTACAGTTGGTCTGATTTGACGGTATCATTAGATTCTCTCTGAGATTATTCAGTTATTATAGTTGGTCTGATTTGACAGTATCATTAGATTGTCTCTGAGATTATTCAGTTATTATAGTTAGTCTGATTTGACAGTATCATTAGATTGTCTCTGAGATTATTCAGTTATTATAGTTAGTCTGATTTGACAGTATCATTAGATTATCTCTGAGATTATTCAGTTATTACAGTTGGTCTGATTTGACGGTATCGTTAGATTATCTCTGAGATATTTGACGGTATCATTAGATTGTCTCTGAGTTTATTCAGTTATTATAGTTGGTCTGATTTGACGGTATCATTAGATTGTCTCTGAGTTTATTCAGTTATTATAGTTGGTCTGATTTGACGGTATCATTAGATTGTCTCTGAGTTTATTCAGTTATTATAGTTGGTCTGATTTGACGGTATCATTAGATTGTCTCTGAGTTTATTCAGTTATTATAGTTGGTCTGATTTGACGGTATCATTAGATTGTCTCTGAGTTTATTCAGTTATTATAGTTGGTCTGATTTGACGGTATCATTAGATTGTCTCGGAGTTTATTCAGTTATTATAGTTGGTCTGATTTGACGGTATCATTAGATTGTCTCTGAGTTTATTCAGTTATTATAGTTGGTCTGATTTGACGGTATCATTAGATTGTCTCTGAGTTTATTCAGTTATTATAGTTGGTCTGATTTGACGGTATCATTAGATTCTCTCTGAGATTATTCAGTTATTATAGTTGGTCTGATTTGACGGTATCATTAGATTGTCTCTGAGTTTATTCAGTTATTATAGTTGGTCTGATTTGACGGTATCATTAGATTGTCTCTGAGATTATTCAGTTATTACAGTTGGTCTGATTTGACGGTATCATTAGATTCTCTCTGAGATTATTCAGTTATTATAGTTGGTCTGATTTGACGGTATCATTAGATTATCTCTGAGATTATTCAGTTATTATAGTTGGTCTGATTTGACAGTATCATTTAGATTGTCTCTGAGTTTATTCAGTTATTATAGTTGGTCTGATTTGACGGTATCATTAGATTGTCTCTGAGTTTATTCAGTTATTACAGTTGGTCTGATTTGACGGTATCATTAGATTCTCTCTGAGATTATTCAGTTATTACAGTTGGTCTGATTTGACGGTATCATTAGATTCTCTCTGAGATTATTCAGTTATTACAGTTGGTCTGATTTGACGGTATCATTAGATTCTCTCTGTGATTATTCAGTTATTATAGTTTTCATTTGACAGTCAATAAGATTCTGTTTTTTTTCTAGATGTTAGCTACTGTATGCTAGATTCAGATGGTCTGATTGAAGAATAAACTAGTATTTAATTTACTGATTTGTACAAAATGTTGGGGGTAGCTAGACGTTCAGGATGTCGAGTGAATTTCACCGGATAAGAGGTGGGCTCCTAACAGTTATCAGTACTGTGTCAGTTTAATATCAGAGCATTTTACTAAATTACTATGAATCTAGTCATAGCTATACCCGTGAGCCGCCGGCCAAGCCACTATTACAGCCACAGGCCGCGGCCGGTCTGCATATCAAGCCGCCAGCTATTACTGCTACAAGCCGCCGATGGTCTGCTTATTAAGCCAGCCAGCTGCCGTCGTGTTTCTTCCACCGGCGCTCGCCAGGTGTCACGTCTTCTGATAAATATGACAACAACCATTCCAAATTCTCACTCACTGAATCCCTTCACAAAGTGAACCAGTGGAAACAATGTTTTCCATCACAGGTTTAATTTTGATGCTAAACGAAGTTCACTTGTTGCTCTGATTATGAACATGATTTTCTTTATTCACGACAACATCAAGTATTACCATGACTTGTAATTCTTTGCCGGGTGAGTGAAGTTAAATTGCTGTTCAGATATTGTGAGATCCAGATATACTCAGCTAAAGACTATTTTAAAATTGTATTTCTTAAAACCTAATTTAGTTACTTTTGCATTTTGGTTTGAAGCATGGACATGTATGTTGAAAGAAGGTTTTCACATTGTTAAGTATTTAGGAATTAATATCGTCTGTAATTCTAGAAATATGAATCTCATTTAAGAAAAACTTTCCACTTGTAGATTTTTTTCTTGAACTGGATTAAAATGTTGTAATTCAGCATTGGTCTTTTAAGTTAATAAATTCCTTTGCAACCAATTTAGCAATTTGTATTGAAAGCCTACGATTCTTTTTCTGCTCAAGGCTGCAGCTAGCCAGCTGATGCACTCTAAGCCAGTTGAAAATTGGAATGCTGACGGGTATAGTCTAAGCACGTTCTCGTTCTGCACCTTCCTTATCAACAATAGTATTGAAACAATTTTTTTTTTCTAAACGTTTTCTTTACATTGTATTATAATGAATATTAATACCGGGGAACTGTAGTAACGTGTTGCCAAACTGTATTATAGTTGAAAATTGGATAGCTGACGGGTATAGTCAATAAATATTATATTACAGCAATCTAAATATGCACCCTCCTTACTAACAATAGTATTGAAACATATGACCAAATTTTATTGTAAATATTTTCTATACACTGTATTATAGTGAATATTTCTATACACTGTATTATAGTGAACTTAAATTACATAGTTTCGATATGAATCAAGATCATTATTATACAATCCTCTGCAATTCTTTCATGATTAGTAATATTATTGTATTTTTATATCGTCTTCACATGATAAGAAATGGCAACGAACCATGAATTGGTGAAAGAACAAAATAATGAAGAAGTAAATGCTATAGCTCAGACTCAGAGATCAAGAAATGGTGGAAATTATAAGAAGAGATAACAATTTTAAGAGTAATAAAAGTCAGAATAATGATGTAATCAAATGTAAAATAATGTGGAGAATGGTACAGACTGAGATGTATGACATATGGTAAAAATATACCTTTCAAGGGGTTGAAATCAAATCAAACGTTCAACCGTTCGAATCTTATTTATCCAGTATTTTGACTTATTTGTTTGGTCAGGCATACGTGATTTTAACTATTATAATAGTGGCGGATGTCGCGTGCAAAGCAGACGATGTCTCTTTTCGAAACAGAGTCCACGACTAAACTACTTTTACTCCCAATATTGCCTTTCTTTGGACGAGATTTTTGATTGACGAAATTGTCTTGCTTGTACGGATTTCTATTATCGACAGGTGAACGCCAAGAAAAGAGTAAACTAATATAACTGTCTTTCAAAATGTTCCTCCTTGGAAAGTTCATAGGTCACATCTTAATCAACCAAATCAGATAATTACAAAAAATATCGCGTCATCAACTCCAATTTGGAGTCTTTCTACTAACCAAATGGCTATTATAGATGATTTAAGTTTCGATTGATACATACCAGCTGTAAAATACTTAGAAACACAAGGACAGTTGAGTGTTAGTTTTTAAGTTTTGAATGCGCTCAAATATGTTAGACAATACATCAGTTTAATCTATAAACACAGACACTGTACCAATTAAAATCAGACATTCTCTTTGTTTGTGGGATAGTGACTTAGGCATAGAAGACGGTTGGAGTGGATAATTCACGAATGAATGAAACCAGCTACATTGATTAATGATATTAATATATCTTACAAATAACAACAATAACAAGGTAAAGTAACAAGCAATTATAATAACTGTTTCTATAGAATGGAATGCTATAAACATCTTTATCAGCTGGTAAAGCAGATATTTACACGACAATATCTCTTGAAGTTACAATAATTATATTTGTGTCAAATCTCACTATGCAAATATCTGCTTTAACAGGTGACAAAACTACAATATCGTGTCAAGCCTGGTCATCAGCTAGTTGTAGAGGAGGGTTGATCTGTTTGACTTGAAGCTGAAGGGTTAGCTATATCAGGTGTAGGTGAAGGGTTAACTATATCAGGCTGCTCAACCAGTAATGTCTGACTATTTTTAGGAAAGTACTGATCAGTGTTAAATATCAATGGTTCTTCATATTCAACTTTCTTCTTTTCCTTGGATTTCTTCTGAAATTAACATAATAAAGATACATTTAGTTCTAGTTGGAATTTATTTCATTGTCTAATTTACTAGTGACTCTTGAGACTGGGGGTACAAATAAGGGGCAAGGTCGAATGGGGGGATGTTATGTTTGATATTCGACATGTGGAAACACTATGGAACAATAGGTACAAACATCTGATGAAGGGTCTGTGGTCAATTTGATGTTTTATGACAAATATTTCAAGGAGTAAATGTATGAATCTGGGGGTACAACCTTTTTCTTCTGAGTGGGTAAAATTCAATATACTGTGAAATGACTAGGGTGAGAGAGAGTAGAAATAAAATAAGAATTAAACTTACAGATCCTACTATAGAGGAAAGTTTCTTGATTAAACCTGATCCTATAGAATCACCTACATCTTTCTCAGCTTGAGTTACCTTCTCTTCTATAATATTTACATCTCTTTTAACTACTTCTACAAATTGCTGTAAACAAACACAACATTAACAGTTTGTCAGCCTACATTTTCTAAAATAGGACTTGTGACCAAAGAATGGAAACTCACTAAAACAGGAGTAAGAAGACAACAAACAAAATCATACTACAGTACGAAAATAGTTTATGTCTCTCAACTCTATATTCCTTTCAGAGAGTCCACATAGTTAATAATATCTATTTGTTAATAAGGTTTGTCAACTTGTCATCAAATTAAGAGAGCTTGTATAATAATATTTATTGAAAACGAATTATATTATGGCCATGTATTTGATCAACTATTTTGATGACAAAACTACAGTTATCTGCTAATGTTATTAGCTCTTGAAGAGAGTTCACATGGTTATTAATATCTATTTGCCAACTGATATATTCATTCTACCTACCACTAATTTATTAATCCTATCAAACACATGCCTCATCTCAATACACTTCTCCTGTATTTTAGGTAAAGTTGTATTTAAACATAAGTTGGTATCACTTCGAATCTGGAAAAGGAAAAAATACTGACTGCAATAATGAACTAGATGAGCTACACCATGCTGTGTACAATGAGGGAAGAGAGACATGCTGCTGGAACAGGGAGAAATTACAGGCTTTTTTGTCAAATTCTTACTGCTATAGTGATGTCAGAATTTGTTAAATGTTATTTAGACCATAACTTCTTTGATCTTCGGCGTGGTATAACCAACTGAAATATTAGTCATACCACGACTGGGACTACTTTCTTCGAACCACCCACCTTCTGTCCCAACAAATTCAAAACCAATTTCTAACCTATACTTAGATGTTGTATGTTTGTCCAAATTAATTCTATAAGGACCTTAGGTTCATAAAAAAAGCCAGAAAATCTTTTATAAATTTCTTATACAATCTGTGAAAAGGGTGAAAAATGAAATTGAAATACTAGTTTTAGCCAGGCTAGTTTAGTTATATCAAAAACGATATTCTCAGTTCATAACTTTAATAATAAAACTCCAAAGATGGGGTTTTATATAAAGCTGTTGAAAAATGTATAACTATATCTGTCTATAACTAAACCTGTGAAGTTATTAGAAGACAATAACTGGTGATGAAAAAGAATAAAGAAGAAGTAGATATTCAGTATTTTAAGGAGGTTGAAATATACTTCCTTCTTCTTTAAAGACATAGGTAAAAGTAAAGTTTCTGACTGGACAGGTGATGAAACTCACTAAAAACTCACTCAGTTGGCCAATGACAGAAGGTGACTAGGTCCAGTGAGATCAGTTAAAGAGACTAAGAGAGGGCAATAATTAGTTAATAGTATAAGGCCAGTTTAATGTAATTAGGTGTTTATAAAAACAGTAGTGGTGTATTTAGAGAAGATAACAAATAAATAAAACAACCAAGTTTCTTTAAAAATACACCCTATCACATACTTACCAAGTCGACCAGTCCACAAAATTCTTCCAGTTTAGTCAACATGCCTTCGATACTTTCATAATATTTAGATTGCTGTAATGTATAACCAAATATACTTGCTCAGATGTGAAAAATTCAAAATGATACAGTCATCACAGTCATTGTACCAAATATATTACATGTATCATTGAAAAGAATATGACTAATCTGTACCAATTTACAGGACCCACAATCATCAAATGGGAACTGTAAAGTAAAAGTGACTTTTTGTTATAATTTTTAATTAAATTTCATTGAACTGTGGAGGAAACAAATGTCAAATTCTTCTTTGAAAGTATACAAAATAATTAAATGCAGACAACACACTCAGTTGTAGTCTGTAGTCTTTAATTGCAGTTACCTCCCTTCATACAATTCTTGGACTTGTTTTATATATAATAGGTCTACTAACCTCAGAAAATCAAAGTTTGAGAAATAAAAGTATTTTGATTAGTTAATAAAGCTGAATTGTACAAAATTTTAATAATTAAACAATCCGATAACCTGTGTAATGTAACTAGTTTAAATCCAAGTTTATTTTTCTTAAAAACCGGTGTTCATCTGAATACAAAAACAATAGTTGTCTGTAGCCTTGTAGTCTTGTTACCTCCCTTTTAGCAGGTGATCGTTGGACTTCTCACCTTACATCAAATAATCACTTACTTCTTTCGTTATATCAAAATTCAGATAGTTTCTGTAATCTTCGGCTATTTCCTGAACTAACTGCTCCACTGTAGCTTGTATTTCTGTCTCATGACTTGAATTATTCTCGTGATTCGTCGTTTCGTTCTCCATTGTTTATGTCGGAAGTGAAGTCTCGGTTATTCAGTACTATCGATAGCTTTGATTATCAAGTTGCAGAATGATAATAATACTTTATTTGACAGGAAAACCAGTTTGCCAGAGGCAAATCTTCTCTGGTATCCTCCTAAACTACACATATAGTAATTATAAAATACACACTTACAGAAATTAAAAACATACATACAAAAGTTATAAACTACACACATACAAAATCACGTAATATAAGTTCTGTCAAATTATCATGGCCGAAGGGGTTTTCAACTTCTTTCTTTCACTTTCATGACATTACCTCCCTTCCCTTACTATTTCGTGATTCTCCTTAGGCAATCATGTGCATGTCTGAGAATATATAGCCTGACTGAATAGAAATGAAATGAAATGAATGGAGTTTTATGTCCTACTTTGCTGCACCATGTGGGCTAATGAAGACGGATGCCTCAATTGTGGAGAACAACTTGATATGAAATGATATTGTCCAATTTATACCAAAATACAAATCGCCTCATTACCCTCTGTAATTACAACATTACCCCCTTTGGGACAGGCAACAGAAAACTGACATGAGGGGATTTTACACTCATACCCTTTCCTTTCCCGATTGTGAAACGTTATCTAGTTTGCAATAAGAGAAATGCAGTTTGCATCAATATTATCTCTCTTTTGTTTGGATCTATCGAGAGATAAGAAGCTTGAATCCATTGTGCTGTCTCAATTCGAACCAACCTCAGAAGAATTTATCCCATTTTTCTTAAGTGCTGTATATCATTTTATGCATTTGCAGTGAGTGATTGAGCCAAATCCCCCCCCCCCCCCCCCCCCTTAA